CAACGAGACAGACGCGAGCGTGAGCGACACAGAAACGTGGACGCCCTGTTCCCATGGTGACTCGCTCTACATGCGCTGCAGTGCCCGCAGCCGGAGGGGAAGCGTGCCTGGCCCCCCTCATGCACCCCATCATTGCCTCCATGGCTGCAAACCTGCACCCCCCACCCAGAACCCCTCCACAGCACTGCTGGGAACTCTGGGGCAGGAGATGGATGCTCTGGTCCTGACCTTTCAGATCATGGGGTGCCCACTGGGATCCCCTTTCCCTGCTCACCCAGCACACCCCAAATTGGCTGCCGAGCCCAGGCAGCTCATTCATCCCTGTGCTGCCTCACAGTGGGGTGCCCTGGGGTGCCCCAGGGAGAATGAGGGATGTGCAGAGCTGCCAGTTGCCTGTCGCACGTGGCGCTTGCAAGAGCACGTGCACTGTGGCCATCGCTGGCCTCGCAGCCACCCGAGGGGGGCTCAGGGGATGGTGGCACCTCAACACAGCAATGCAGGGCCAAGGGGTGGTGAGGATGGGAACCATCACCCCTGCCAGGTCCCAGCCTTCAGACAGGGTGATAGCTCAGCCATGTCCAACCCAGCACCGAATGACAATGGTGTGTACCAGGGGCAGGTGTGCCCCTCAGTGCGCAGGGAGCAGCACCCATGGGTGCTCGCAGGCAGGCAAGTAAGCACCCATCAGGATTCTCATTGTGGTGGTGTGGGAGAAAACGGGCTCGGCAGCAAGGAGGAGGGTGAGCATGGAGTGGTGGCAGCCGAGGGCTGGGAGACCACTCGTGTGGCTCTGCTCAGAGACAGCCGAAGGGGTGCGGGGTGCTCGACCACCCCGCGGGCCAGGGCCACGCTGCCGGCAAGGGGGACGGCAGTGCCACCAGGTGCTGAGGGTGCTGGCAGGGCCGGAGGGCCGAGCCCGGCGGAAGGAAGGAGTGATGGGGAAGGAAGAAGCAATGGGGAAGGAAGGAGCAATGGAGAAGGAAGGGGTCAGGGGCCCTGGCCACTGGCAGGCAGTGGGGGCTGCTCCATCAGGCAGACAAACGCGTGGGTAGAGGCAGTGCTGCGATGTGGGTGTATGGGGAGGGGGTCCCCGTTGCCCGGCTGAGGCCACTGGGTGCAGGCAG